ACCCCTCAGGACCAATATTGACAGTAGCCATACCAGGAGGGGAAGGAGAAGGTAGGGGGAGATAGGGGAAACCTATCATAATGATCTACCTATAACCCTTTCCCAGGGGGATGGAAAACAGACAAGTGGGTGAAGGGAGACATTGGTCAGTGTAAGACATGAAAAATAATAATAATTTATAAATTATTAAGGGGTCATGGGGAGGGAGAGAGGGGGAGGGAGGGAGAAAAATGAGAAGCTGATACCAAGGGCTCAAGCAGAAAGAAAATTTTCTGAAAATGATGATGGCAACAAATATACAAATGTGCTTGACACAATGGATGGATGTAGAGATTGTGATAAGAGTTGTATTAGCCCCCAATAAAATGATTAAAATAATAATAATAATAAATAAATTCTACCTTAGTACAAGAACAGTTCATTCTAATAAAGTGACACTGCATGATACTCACCTTCCCAACACAATCACTGAAGACAAAATGTGTGCATAAGCAAATGTGGTGAAGAAAGATGATGGTGATCTTAAAGACTTGAAGTTGAACAAGTGGCCATCAAGCAGGGAAATAACAACACATGGAAGAAGCACACCAGCCTATGTGATCTTTAAGGTGTCAATGGGAATAGGTATAAGAAGTTCAAAATCAAGCCATCAAATTGATGTGAAGGAGTGTGGACAAAGAGGAGATCCAAAACCCACGTGTAAGATAATTGGACAGGCCCTCACAGTAGGCCACAGTGAAGGGATGACATATCCAGGGTTTAGAATAGCACTAATGAAACACATAAATATCCTCTAGTTCTTTAATATTTCCCCACTTACTTTTATGGTCTTGGTTTTACCTCATTAATCTTGTTAGACCTGCCTATGTTCATTTGTATAATTAAGATTGTTCTTTGTATGCAAGTAAAAATAACCTTTCAGAAACAGTAATGGGAGTAACGATTCCCTGAGGGTATGGGAAGAGGCAGGGGGTGGAGAGCTTATAACAATGATGTCAGCATAACTCCACTCGAGGGGAATGAGTCAACAGAATTGTAGGTGAACGGATCCACTAGCAGGTGTAAAATACAGCATATATATATAAAATAATAAAGGGTCCTTGGGGGGTAGAGTGGAAGAGGGAGAGCATAAAGAGGAGCTGATATCAAGGTGCTCAAGAAGAAAGAAAATGAGTTGTAACTGATGGTGGCAGCAATTGTACAATTATGCTTAATCTCATTGAATTATGGATTGTTATAATATCTGTCAGAACTCCCAATAAAATGATAAAATAAAACTGTGGTGAAAATTGTACAACTCTTCTTGATGTGACTGAGCCATTGAATCAGGCCCCCCTGCCTCTTGTGAATGATATGTGAATTAGATGCTAATAAAGCAACTGAGAATAAGTAAATGTCACTAGAAAGAAGCAAAGAATTTGAAGGCAAATTCTGACTCTAGTAATGCTCATTCAACCTCTAATAAGATATTTTACCTACGGTATTTGAGCCAAGTGCATATCTCATCTTACAAAAAGCACATAAAACCTAGGTTCTGAGGCCACTCCCCAACCTGCTTAGCCCTGTGTAATGCTATAAATGCCACAGCTTGGCCAAGGAACTTACGCCTAGGATTAGACTTTTCATTGCTGGATGTTGGGATATACCTCATCAATTCCCCATAACGAACCTGTACTTTCCTTTCTAATACCTTGTTTCTTGAGCTGTTTTCTGTTTTCCTCCAGGGAAAGTATCCTACTACAAGTGAATATCAGTTATGGCCAGACTTGGCCTGCTCAACATTCACAGGAAGAACAGTCATCACCTTCAGGCTATCCCAGAACAAAAGTGCTTTGGTCAAGGAACCAAAAGTCACCAGGAAGATATCACCAATCCAACTCTAGAAGACATCTGAAAGTGAGGGATCTGATGAGCCATCTACTGTCAAGAATCATAACCTTGCCTTAATGCATATTCATGACTGTTTCTATGAAGTCTGTGACAGATTCATAATATCATAAACGTATCTTCTGGTGTGCACGTATAAAATCTAATCCTCTCTTTTTAGGAGCTTGCCTTGGAGCTCAACTTGGGTTGGTTAAGGTTCTAAAAGAAAAGTTAAAAAATTCCTCCATAATATAATATTAGCAACTTATACTTTACAGTGATTGCTTCCCTATAATATTCTATATTAAATCTGATTCCATACCTTTAAAGAATAGTACAGTTGTTCACACTCTCCTCTCTGGACCATAAAAACAATGTTAAATTCAGGAAGTATACACACACACAAAAAAGCAGCAAGATTTTGCACACCTCCCTTGAGTAGCATAATAAGCATAAATTGTATCTGTTCCTCAAGAACTTCCATTCAGTATTCGAAGCAAACATTTTTAACTTATGGCACATTTGCTGATTATTAAACCTTTATTACCTTTGCTTCATCATCTCATGGACTCTCCCATGCTGAACACACTGTTTCTCCAGTTCATCATTTCTCTTCTGTAACTTTGCCAGTTTGTCATGTGTGTACCTTTTTTCTTGGTTGAGCTGAGCAAGTTCACATCTAGAGAGACAAAAATACGAAAATGATAGTTGAGAAAGTTTTTTAAATATTAGAACTTATTTACTATACACCCTTAACATTATCCCAAATTCCATGCTTAATCATAACTGTAAAACAAATATTATTTCATGCAAAAGAAAATTTTCAGAGATTAAAAAATGTATAATAGAGGCATACATGGATTGTAGGGATTCAGGTCTTAGAGAAATGAAATACAATACTAGAGGTTAAAGTGTTTGGCTGCTACTGAATGGTCAGTAGTTCAAGCCTTCTAGCCACTCTGTGGGAGAAAGAATGGCAGTCAGCTTCCATAAAAATCAAAGCCTTGGCAACCATATGGGCAGTTCTACCCTGTCGCATAGGATTGTTACGAGTCAAAATTAACTCAACAGCATTGGGGTTAATGGGATTAGTAAAGTATGAGATACTAAAAAGCAACGTATTCCAATAGCGATGGAATTTCCATGGAAAACCACAAAAGTGATAATGCGCAACTCCCCCCGTTTGAAGGCAATCATTCATATAACCAATATTTACTAAAGACTTATTAAAAACCAGCCACCATAGGGTTAGGGATAGGAAAAAAGGAAAAGAACCCAAAACTGTCACCAAATTACTAAATGAGCAACCTTTGGATTAATTTCTCTAACAGAGAGTCCTCTGAATTAACCTAGTCAATGTAAGATGCCCTTGGTGGTGCTGTGGGATGAGCACTGTGCCATTCTCTGCAAGGTCAACAGTTCCAACCCACCAGCCAGTGCGAGGGAGAAAGTTGAAGCAATCCATTCCTGTAAAGATTTACAGTCTCGTGGCCATTATGAGTCAGACTTAGTGTGATAGTAGTGATGGGCTTGGGCTTACCTTGGTGATACTTTGTTAAAATCAAACACAGCGATCCTCAACCCTCTGACTCCTAAACCAGCTAAACATAACAACTACTTTTAATTTTTTAAAATCTATTTACTCTGCTGTTTAAATCCACATTGATAAACATGCTTGCACCACTATCTCTGGTTCTTCTATCACTGAAAAAGTTAAAATGGGAGATAAAATAAAATTCTTTTACGTGTTCCATTCCTTTTCCTCCATCTCCATCTTGTCAATATAATTACAAGTATACCACAGTTTAGGGCAAAATCATCAAATGCACTTACATTATAATAGTTATGTACTCGAATATATACTCGAGTATAAGCCGACCCGAATATCAGCCGAGGCAACTAATTTTACCACAAACTGCATTAAAAAGGTGTTGAATGATCACGAAGTGTCAAACAAAAAATCATACCATTGAGAATGAAGGGGAGTGCGGAGTGGGGACCCAAAGCCCATCTGTAGGCACCTGGACATCCCCTTACAGAAGGCTCACGGGGAGGAGACGAGCCAGTCAGGGTGCAGTGTAGCAACAATGAAACATACAACTTTCCTCTAGTTCTTAAATGCTTCCTCCCCCCCACTATCATGATTCCAATTCTACCTTACAAATCTGGATAGATCAGAGGATGTACATTGGTACAGACAGGAACTGGAAACACAGAGAATCCAGGGAAGATGAACCCCTCAGGACCAGTGGTGAGAGTGGTGATACTGGGAGGGTGGAAGGAAGGTGGGGTAGAAAGGGGGAACCGATCACATGGATCTACATATAATTCCCTCCCTAGGGGAAGGGCAGCAGAAAAGTGGGTGAAGGGAGATGTCGGACAGTGTAAAGACATGGCAAAATTATAATAATCTATAAATTGTCAAGGGTTCATGAGAGGGGCAGGGAGGGAGGGGGAAAATGAGGATCTGATACCAAGGGCTCAAGTAGAAAGCAAATGTTTTAAGAATGATGATGGCAACAAATGTACAAATGTGCTTGACACTATGGATGGATGGATGGATTGTGATAAGAGTTGTACAAGCTCCCAATAAAATGATTTTTTTTCAAATGTGCTGAAAAGCTTGGCTTATCCTCGAGGACACACAGTAACTATTGCTCCTTGCTATACTACTACTTGGTGTATTATGATCCCACTGATCAAGTGTATTATGATTGCATTTGCACCTAAGTACATTTACCCCCCAAAACAAGTGGGCTTTAGTATAGGATGACTGAGTAGGAAGCTATCATTTCCAAGGGGAGATTCCAAACAGCATTATTTATCATTGAAGAAATGGTGTAGAGCCCACATCTGTCCTCCTCTAGCTCCACAAAGGAGGAGAATCCAATGCCACAGCTGCTTAAGGCTGATTGCCATAAGGCAGAGGTCAGACATGCCTTCACCACCCATCCTTTTTTTATCCAGTCATGACACAAACCATTCCTCCCACTCACTCTACTTCTCTGCTGGGTTCTAATCTTTCTCAATGGCTATACAGAATTTATAGACAATACCCCAGATTATAGGGGCTTATTATGGAAGTTAATAGGCTACCATAAATTAGTATCAGAAAACAGTAAGGATACAGTCTTCTGTCCATTGTAGAGCCTCATCTCAGATAGCAGCCAAGTCTCTCTCTGGTCCTCAGCCTTTCAAGCCATGTGATCTCATGGCCTGTTTGTTCTGTGGGCCAGGAGCCCATCACTCTGCCATGTGATCTCAGCGCTGCTCTCGTTGTCTCAGCAGGGTTCAGCCTTTGGTGTCTGCTGCCTCCACCCCTTTAGGTAGGGATCTCGAAGCTCCATTGGTAGCTCTTCTTTCTTGATGATCATGGAATTCCCTATTCCTGCTTCTGAGATGTCTCACATACCCAGAGGAATGGCAGAAGTGCCCAATCCATGAGTTAAGAGTCCTCTATACTTATCTGTTTGTTTCCACCCAATCACTGGGTGGGAGTTATAAAGACAAGCAGTTTCACTTCACCACAGTAATTTTTTCCTTTTGGATGACCCTTATTTCTCAATAGAACAACTCCCCAGTTTCTGCTTGTCATATACAACCCTTATTCCCAGCCGTCTAGGAGTTGGGGGGGGGGAGTATGAGAATCGGGAAGCTACCCTCAGAAGAGTGACTGTCAATAACTTCTTCTATTTTAACTATTATCTTCCTTTTTAATCAGAATCTGCTGGTTTATTCTTTTGGGAGAGAAAGCCCTTGGGATTCTGGGTAGAGGAGGTACCTGCTTATATGGAGTGGGGATACAATTCTCAAGTTTGGTCCCACACTACCTTCCAATTTTTCACACCCCCTGGAATTCTGAAAGCAGTAAACTTGCTTAATACACATGTACCACCTACCATAGGCACTTACATCATTTTCACTTTCTTCCACTACATTCGCTCAGTCTTCTGTCTGCACATATGTCATCTGGGATCACAGATATCTTCTTAGGTGACGGCTAATGTCCCCCAGGAAATAATAGTGTCTTGAATGATTAGCTCAAGTTTCAGAATTTGGAAATCGAAAGATCTCTGTCCTTTTTCTTAAAATCTGTCCTATAGGGTTGCTATGAGTTTGGTTTTGGTTATTCTCACTGCCAGGGTCTCCTCATGTTCTACTTTATTGGTTAGAGCTGAAACCTGAAAAATAAAACCTTCTCATATCATAATATATGTAGTTACCTGCTTAATGTTAGATGGTGTCCTGACTGCTTTTAAAGTAAGACTCTTGAGGAGGCACCCTAATATGACAGCCATAGAGTAGCACCAGTCCTAGACAGACTCTTAACAGCACAGTTCACAATCGCAAGAAGTTGAAAACACCCCAAATTCGTATCAACAGGAGAATGAATAAAAATACTTCCATATATACACACAATGGAATACTACGCATCCTGGAAAAAACGTGATGACACCATGAACCACGACACCGAGGGATCTGGAAATCATTATACTGAGTGAAGTTAGTCAATCACAAAAGGACAAACATTATATAAGAGCACTGCTGTAAGGATAAACACCAAGATTAAGCCAAACTCATGCTTTCAAGCCATGCAATCCACTAACCAACTCTAGCAAGCACCAAAGTAGAGAGCCTGGCTAGTGCCCATGAGCCATATATCATCCACTCTGTATGGTTATCTTCAAACCACTTTGACAGAGGAGCCATCACTTTAACTGGGATCAGATTTTCAAGCAGAAGATGACCATTTAGAGGCTGTCATGCACAAATGTGATGAGGTCCCCCAAACCTGCTGACATTCCAACCAGAATGATAAGTGGTAGTAATGGGAAAAATCAAGTCCAGAGTAGGGGCAGGGAGCATGCACATCTGGGAGAAGACAAGTGCATTTCTGTTGGCAGATAAAGGGGAAGGAACAACTTCCTAGTGGGAAAAAAATGACTAACAACATTTATGAGCCCCAAGGGGAGAGGATGCCTAACACTATGCTCCTTATTGGGCACATTGGTCTGAGTTTCTTTCTTTTTCTTTTTAAAAATTGTTATTATTTTTTAAAAATAAATCATTTAATTGGGGGCTCTTACAGCTCTTGTAACAATCCATACTCATCTGAGTTTCTGAAAAGACCCTGTGGACCCAGGCCATGTGCCATAGAATACTGAGACATTGAACCCTGGATCTTCGAAGCGCACAACATACTCCAAAGGCCACACCAGAGGGGTGTGATGTGGAAACCCTACTAGGTGAACTGGCTCTACCTCAAACACACCTGTAGCCCAAAGATTTAAGGTTGAAACTACATTGTGTGTAAAGAAGCAGAAGACAGCTATATCAAGAGTATTTAACTGTCGGTAGGCATGACTTGCTTTACTAAGATATATTATTCTGGCAGGCCTGGATATGATATTGTTAATGAATATTATCGTAAGTTTTGGCAGACCATCAACTCCCACATTATGTGTAAACAGTATCCTGCCACATATGGATATAATCTGTACAAATCAATAATCCATGTATTCCAATTTATTAGTTTGCCTATACTCGTTGCACCTTTGTTTCTCAGTTGTATTTTAAACACATTACCATGGGCTAAATCAATGACACTATAAAAAGAAGGACCTTATGCATCAGGGAGATGATCGATAAGGTCCTCTAATACAAAATAACAAAAGTCTC